TCTCAGAATCAGAAGGGCAGATAAGTAAAACTAGAAGTAAAGCAAAAATTTCAGCATTAGTAGAGTTAGCCCAAAAATAAGGAATAGCAGTAGTAAAGTCTATGTTAAAAGTATCATGAACAAGAAGAAAAGCTGAACTTAAATGGGAACTAGGAGAAGTGAAATGATGAATAAATTTATGAGAACCATTGGTGTAAAAAGTAAGTAAGTGTTCATCTTTTAGAATAAATTTGAATTGATTTAAAAGTGTACAGGTTGCTGGTAATGATATTAGGAATTCTATATTAACAAAGGGGAAACTATTACTGATTAAAAGATTATTGGGTACAATAGTCAGTCTCATGTCAAGATATCTTTGTGTGGCTTGATCAGATACAGTTTTGATATTCCTTTTCAAAATGTAAAGTCTTTCTGAGTTAACTGATATAAAATAATTAGTTTGAATAAGTCAATGTCAATTAAATTTCCACATAAGAGCCTTTGGGTAGCAACAGGTAGTCTAGCATATTGTGATTCCTCGTGAAAGGTACAGCCAATACAGGCTATAAAAGAATTTTGTTTTTTTGATAGAGACCGTGGATCAGCAGTTATGTTGCTCAGGATGAAGTGTTGAAAAAGAATTTTGTCTGGAAAAAGTGGAGATTTGTAAGATTTTCCTATGATAGTCTGTTCCGGGTAAGGTAGATTATAGAAGTTAGTTTCAGGTAGGGTCCAAAGAGCAACCCAATCTGATACCTTAGGTGAATCCATGGGAGAGGAAGTTTTAAAACCTGCAGGCATAAAGAGACTAATAATATATTGATCTTTTATTCTATTTGACTGCACTGGGTTCAATATGATAGTGTTTTCTAGATAAGAAAACCAATCTGGATAACTGCTTTTGACAGTGTAATGATCGTTATTAATGAAGGTGCTGATATCTCTGAATTTTATAAGAAATTTACCCTCAAAAATGAGCTGATCAAGAAATAATATTGATTTGTGTCGTAATGAATTTATCCACTTTTTTTTTCAAGGGATAACGTTTTGTAGTGAAGTTTTGCCTCCTTTTATACTGAATTTAGAATTGTTTGCTAACGTGTTTAAAAATGATAAATTTGATTGTAAATAAAAAGAAATTATGTTGCCAAGAAAGTTGTCATGACTAAAGATGGTAACAACAATTATTTTATTATGTTGCAACAAATAAAAAATTAATTAAATGTTATAACATTATTA